TCTACCAGGGCTTCCTATTTTCACAACTCATGCCACTCTACATCCCTGCCCTGTGCCCCACACCTGGGATGCTCATTTTAATTTTTGCTGGGACTGGCCTCTGAAATCAGGGACTGTCCCAGCCAAATCAAGACATGAGGTCCCCTTACTCTTATGGGAAGGTGAATTTTTTCCTGTCCAAATCCTAACTAAATTCTAAACAACAAATATTTATAAAAATACTGGATGTTAGCCTGCAGTTCTATTTTTTTCAAACAGACCAACAGTTGCGTTAAGTCTTGAGAAAGCTGATGGGAAAATCTAATATGGGCAATTCCCTGTTTCCATGGAAAATGGAGGCAAACTTGGATTCAGGACTTGTCTAAGGAAGAACTGTCGAGAATCCTTTGTCTCCAGACAAACACACGTGGCAGGCTCCTAGTATTCCTTTGAAGAAGAACTTCACATGATTTTTAAAAAGATTTTTAGCTAAATATCCATGAATTGCTTCATCAGCTTTAATGTTTTTCTCTTCAGGATGGCTAAACTTAAAATGCTTTAAAGACAATACCTATCTTCCATCCTCTGCTCAGAAATTACTCACCAGAGTGACCACTTTCACACAGCTCTGGAGCCCAGGGGATGAACCCACTATATTTTGTTCACCCCTGCACGCCCACACCCCTCCCCAAACAATGAATTCAGTCACAAAAGGGAAAAGAGGGAACGAACAGCAGTGTTCACCCCCAGGCTCTGGAGCTGCACAAAAGCAGTGGCTCTATCCAGAGAGCCCATGCTGACACGCCAACAAGCATCATCTGGCCTCCAGGCTGTAGCCTGAGCAGCACTGTACAGCATTAGCTAAACAGCAAATTTCCTCAGAGCAGTGATTTACTAAAGCTGATTGAGATTCAACTTTTGGTTTCTGTGGGTCTGTATGCATAATTATTTTTATTGTCACGGAAGAGCAGTTAATTTAGGATACTAGCTTATTGTCTAAAATATTCAGATGTAGAAACGCAGCACTTTGGAATTATAGAAAGTTTAAAGAGTACTTACGTTAACTATGGACTCTTTAGTTTGAGCCATGTCTGAAATAACTCCATCTGTAATTATGAGAAGAACAAAATACTGGGAGCCATCTTTTACTGAAGAAGCATATCTAAAAAAATAAAAAAAAAATCCCAAAATATTTTAATAGCACTTAAAAGCCAAAAAGCTTTAAACAAACAGATTAACATGAGAATCTATACTTTAAAATTATAACCAGCAAAGACTAAGGTAAAACTAAAAGTTCATATTAGATATCTAAAAGTAAAGACAGGAATTATTAAAACTGAGGAGGAATTTGCTGGCATGTGAGTAGGAAATACTGCTATGGGCTGGAAGCACTGTGGAACGATTAAGAATAATTAGGAATGTGCATATGGTATGAACATCTTGATAACTACTTGGAAGTATTTGTGAGTTTTGCAACAATTTGTTATATAACAGACGGGGTGCACCTACACGTTCAAATGCTGTGGGATGAGTTTACTTTAGAGTAATTTACTCTGCAGTAAACTTACCCTGGGCAAGTGTCTATACATGAGTGCATTTAGGAGCAGATATGCTCTCAATGGGACCAGTGCAGAGCAGGCTGCTCCCACCCTGCTCTGCCCCCCTGCAGCAGCTCTAGGCTACCCTTGGGTGCTCACAGCCTAGGGACTGGCAGGGAGCACAGAGCCAGAAGACAGCTGGCTCCTGGCAGGGGCTAGGACATTGCTCCTTGCCCCCAGGAGCTGCATGCTGCAAGGGTGGCTCCACCACTGAAGCCTGGGTGACGACAATGTCTCCCTGCCCTGGCAGCAGAGAGCTCCCAGCCCTAGACCCTCATGTGGGGGCACAGGGCTTGGAAAGAGCTGTGAGGGAGGGGCAGGACCCAGTTCCCTGCCCTGATATACTGGGCGAGGGGTGGAGAAGAGAGGGGCAGCTAGCATCAAGCCCCCAAATCTCCCTGTGTCGATGGTGGCACTTACTGTGCAGTAATTTGCTCTACTGTGCATTAAAGCATCTTGGGTAGATGTGCCTAGGAGAAATGAAATTAGCTAGTCTCTACATGATCTGCAAAGACTGTGGGAGAGCTACCTTGAGATGTACACAGTAACACAGGTTACAAAATTAACTGTTTCTTAGATAGCAGAACAAATAGCAGTAACAGTGTCAACGAGAACAGTCTGATACAGTTTCCATGCAAAATGCTATTGTTAGTCAATGACCTGTACTCTGGCCAGCAGCCAGGGGTACTATTCAAGTTAATACATAAAGCACTATATATACAAGAGTTTCCGCACAATAAGGTAACAGTGCTTTTGCAGAGCAGAGCTTAGCTTCTTTCCAGTAGACCCTCGGGTGGACAGCAGGGTTCACCCCAAACAAAATAAGTTAAAAAGCAGTTTTTCTCCTTTGATAACTAGCCTGAGAATCTGCTCCTCTTTATTTGTAGGCCTCCACATTTCTTCAAGTCTGGTATTTATCCTAAACATTTACTTGCAGCTACTTGGTCTTTTCTAAATGCCAGAGCATTATTGGGCCAACTGTATAGATTTAGCTGACTTTTATGAGGTGCCAACACTACTGCTATCTTTAGTGATTAGCTGTAAGTAATGACAGGAAGGATTCTGGAATGCATCAAGGCAGAATCCAAGAAAATAAATGAAGGGACGAGAATACGCCACCACTAAATCTCTAAAAGAAACTTAAAAAAACCTGAAACTTGTATTTCTTTGTATAATATGCAGGCACCTATTCTGGATACCTTTGAGAAATAAATGGATGCTTAAATCTTGCTGGGGTGATGTGACCACAGCTGACTTCCTGCCCCTTGGGCAGGGAGCTGGACCTGATGATCTTGCAAGGTCCCTTCCAGCCCTAATGTCTATGAAATATGCATGAATTCTTCCAAGCTTAAGAGATAATGATGAAGAAAACAAATAAGGTTGTATTTCAACAGCCAATCAGCTCATCAGTACTCATGAGATCTGTAGAGTAAACCTCAGTAACAAAAAAATATCGCTGGACATCAGCGTCAGCTGGGGCAAGGTATTAAAAAAATACTAGGGAGGAAGGAAGTGGGAAGGGGGGAAAGGGACTCAAAAAATTATATATTTGCTATATCAATTTTATTCTGATCTTATTCTCTCTGGAGTTCTGTTTTTAATCCAATGACTATGTAATGTAAAACAGAACAAACAGTCCAGGAACTAGAACCCTGATTTTTCATCTTTTTTTGAAAAAAAGGTACAGAGACAAGCTCCTTTTTGCTTACTCTCATTCTGGCCCAATGATCTTGCATTGTTGGTTTCAGTGACCCAGCTTCAGCCAGCCCAGGAATTCCCTGGTCCTCTCCTGGGAAATGGGAAAGGCAGGTTTCAATCTGGTTCTTCCAATTTCTAGGTGAGTACTCTAACCACTAGCTTTTTAATATAATATATATTATTGTTGTGCTTTGAACTTAACTCAATGCTGTCAGTAGGTGCTACACATACACAAACATGCCTGATCGACAGGATTCCTTCTGGGATGTAAAACAAAATAAAAAAGTACTCTGCCTTGTATCTGGATCACAAGTTCTTAGGTGCCTGCCTGCTCAGACTGCAGCTCCTCTGTATATGAGCAGGAGTCTAAGTTTAAGCAGTTGAAGTACCTTGTAGTCTGAAATAGAGGTGCTAAATTAATTTGAGTTGAGAATTCCTAAGTTACATATTTGAACTCAGGTGCCTTAGGCATGCTTAAATACCATTTTAGATATCTAAAGTACTTCTCTAATGCTTACTCTAATGCATATATCAGTTTCTCAGCAGAATATGCCTCTGGTATATTTGCCCTGTAGGTAGTTTTGGAGAGAAGGGATAAAGATTTCATTACTATATAATGTGGTGGCAATTTATCAAGTAGATTTTTTTCACAATGGAAAAATGTTTGCAAAAGAAGGATACGAGACAATTGTACAGAAATAATGTAATAAACACCCTACTATTCCTGCACATATATGATCAGCTTTTCAACCTCTACCTTTTTTTAAATTTCAAGAAAAATTTAGCTCATTAAAACCTCCTGCAGATGATACCCAGGCTAGATGGAACCGTTTTTTCTTTTTTACATGGAGAAAAGATGACCAACTGACAAAATAACTAAAAATAAAAATAGGCCAGATAGGTGAAAAAACAGATGAGGGAAGCATTGAAGAAACTGAATATAATCTAAGTTCACTGCTCCTTTAGCAGCTAAGAAAAAACGGAGGGACATGTGGGCCACTTTCTCAATTATAAAGTCAGAATTCTCCATAAGGAAGAGTAGGAAGAAGGAAAGGTGAAAAGCCTCTTCATCAAAACTTTTCACGTTTCATTGCCAAGAGGCACAACGCTCCACACGCGGGTACTACAAGTTGAAAAACCTTGCATGAAAAATATTCAGCTTCTTTAAATTTTCAAAGACATAATTTTTCCAGTTTTTGGTTTCTCCTTTCCTGTACCTTTTTTCTTTTCTGTCATTGAATAAAACAAAACATGTCTACATTTTATTTCATTTTATTTACTTTTGCATTCTCCTCTCTCTCATTTTTTTCTTTTGCTATACTCCACTTTTATGTTTATCCTCTCCTTGGTATAAAACCAGAAGAGATCAACAGCAGCGGTGACCCCTCATGGTCAAGGATGATCATTCCCAGGGGTCAAGTAAGGAGTTACAGATGAGTATGCTGATGGCTAAGAAGGCCAGTCCTAGAGCCACAAACTCTCTGACAGATGCCACATGTAGTAGCTAAATAGAGAATTGGACCACAGATTTCTGGATCTTGTTTCCTTTTCTTCAGCTTCTGTTGTTTTACTCATCATTTTTTTGCCTCTGAGGAAAAGCATCGCACCCTAGAGTAAAATATACCATCTCTCACAAGGCATCGCCATGTAGCCTTGTCCCAGGCTAGTTCTTCCCAATCTGTGATGTCAATGCCACATTTCTTGATGTTCACTTTGAGAGTATCCTTGAAATGTTTCCTCTGGCCTCCAGGTGTCCTTTGTCCTTGGCTGAATTCGGAGTATAGCAGTTATTTTGGTAAACACACTCAGGCATGTGCACACAATGCCCTGTCCACCACAGCTGATGCTGAATGATCATCACTTCCATACTGGTGGTGGTAGCGTCAATGATGACACTGGCATTTGCGCTTTGATCCTCCCACTTTATGCCAAGGATCTTCCAGAGATAATGCTGGTGAAGGCATTCCAGGCTTTGCAGGTGGTCCCTGTAGGTCATCTGAGCTTCACAGCCATAGAGAAAAGCTGGAGTTACCACAGCCTTACATAGTAAGAGCTTTGTCCAAGTCCTGATGCTGCGATCGTTGAACACACAATGGTTCAGTCGTCCGAAGGCAGAGCTGGTATATCGGATCCTATACTGGATCTCCTCATTGATGTTGGCCTTCTTTGAGATGGCTACCGAGGTATGCAAAGTGTGGCAATCCATGGAGAGGCAGAACAGATCAAGGAGCACAGCTGAGGCGGATCCGGAGGGGAAGCCCTTCGGCG